CGGGCACACAGGCCCCAAAAACAAATACGGGCGCACAGGCCCCAAAAAACAATAAACGGGCGCGTAAACCCAAACACCAAAAAAGTATCAATCAGTCCCTGGAGTGCTGACGTCGACTTTAGGAGAGTCGGGGGGAGGCACAACCCGACGATCGACGATCTGGGATAGAACTCCAGCCCCGTCGGTGTTCAAACCCGGATTTAGCACGGACAACTGACTCACCGCAGCCTCAAACCCATTGGCCAAAGCGCCAACGTAGTCCGACTCTAGGAGTTAAATGCGAGCAATAAAATCAGAGTGTATACGCAAGTCAGCCATCCTCTCTGGTTCGTCCTCAACGGGCAGCATAACGGCCTTCAGGTCCTCGACCTCTCTCGACAGTCGTTGGTTGTCACTCTCCAACCGTTCCTTATCTAGCTGAAGGCAACCCCTTTCCTCGAGAGCCCTGTCGACCCTTTCCTTCTCCCCCGTAAACACATCAGACTGCTCGCGAAACATTTCCTCGGAGCGTTCGAGGGCAACCTTCAATTTGCGGGACTTGGCTGCGAGAGCCGCCTTCTTCGACTCCAGCTCTCTGACCCGGTCCATGGAGTCCGATCCTTCCCCCGCAAGGACAACCGCCATCTCGGCCATTTTTACCCTCCCGACCATACTGGCAGCGAGGTGCTTCCTCCGACCTTCCTTGTCAAGCCGCCTGATGATATCGGCCTTAGTGTCAGATACGGATAAGGGATACCCCTCGAAGAAATACTTCTCCATGAAGCAAGGTGGCAGGCCGAAGGCCCGAGCACCTGCACCTCTGTCAATCACTTCGACCCCATCATCTGGTCGGCTCCACTTCTTGCTGATCAGAGCAGATTGGCGCTCGGCGTCCGGGGAATCCGAGGACCCACTAGATCCTTCCTTGCCCGAGTCAGGAGGCGGGCCCATCCACGTGGCTTGTTGCGGCCTCACCAATCTCTTGTTGATTTTCTTGTCTTGAGTTAACTTCAGCAACCTTTCGCGACGCTCCGCCATGTGACCTGCAAAGGAAGCGTACTTGGGTTAGCTACGTACATTAAAGAAAGCAAATAAAGAGGAATATCAATAGAGCAAAGCAAGAAACCTAAGAGGTATACGGCTTGCCCGTAAGATTGGCACTCGACGAGCGCCTTAGTATTGATCGGGCGTGCCTCGAATGTCGAATAGCTATCCTCATCGAGAACGTCGTCACCTTCCCGCGTAACCCACCGAGCAAGAAAGAAGCCGTCGACAAACTTGTTTAGGACGCCATAAGCTTCCTCATCCTTAACACTCATACCCCCTGCAGGAGTGTGGTAGTATCCAGGACCATGGTCGTAATGGCCCGAACACCAGTGAATGGGAAACATAGAGACTCTCCAAATCTCGGGGTTACCCTCAGCATCCAAACATGGCTCCCCATCCTCGTCCACCACAGCGGTCGTTCGAACAGCGAATCTATCGCTGTCGGGGTAGACGGTTGCAAAATATACCACTTGTCCTTAAAATCTCGCACATAATCCATATACATCCTAAACAGTCTCTTCGACTGCTTAAGGGACACTCAACTGTGCTTCCCTCCCCGGGACTGCCGTTGTAAGTGAAAAACCCTGAAGAACAGGGGGATCGTCGCCCCAATCCTCAGGAAGCGACATGTGAGTTTGAATGCCTGGAGAAAGGCAATTGCATTGGAATGAATTTTGGAGGGGGCCAGGTTCAGATGGTTGAACACTCCGACCTAGAAGTCATTGAAGGGCAACTGGAGCCCGAGATCTCTGAATATGATCTCGTACACGAAAAATGCATCCTGTGTAAACTCCGAATAGATATGGGCGTCCCTCGTCGGCCTCATAATCTTGAAGTTCCTTTGAAATACTTCTTGACCGTCGCCATACTCGACGACAGTGTAAGCTTGTCTATTGGAAAGGCTGTAGATTGAAGTTATTCCCCGGAGCTCAGCACCAACCCAATCCAGAGTGGGGTCATCGACAGTGTCGACCAGGGTGATAGTTTCCTCCGCTGTGCTTGGTTCCTCGACATCGTTACGCCCCGAGGACTCAGGAATGTCGGCCATTTACCTGCAAAGTACAGGAAACTGGTGAATTCGACAACAAATCTGCTTGTCCACCACAAAGACAGGGAGAAGTAAGCAACACTCAGACCGAATCTACGACCACTCGCACGAAAAACGGGAAACAAGTGGACCTCGACCAAAACACCAACCTCAACGGCGGACGTGTATCAATCATGAACGACGCGAGCATAACATGAATATCACAAGCGAACGATGAGCCCCGCGACCAAGTTCATAATGTTTCTGGCCCGGTACAAGAATACTATGGGGAAAACTACCCTACATACTAATGAAAGGATGAATCTCCCGACCAGGTTCATAAATCTACTAGCCAAACGCATGAGTGTCGCGGGCACGATCTTGAACCGTATGCCTAAACTTATGAATATCTCGGGGACAACCATAAATCAGGCGCCTAGCGCGCTTAAATTTATTAGGCACTATCCCCAGACACGAGATTCTACCACTAAAATGCCATCAAATCTATCTACAACACGAGATATCAAAAGGATAAAACACTTACTTGAGAGAAGAATGAAGAACGACGGTGGTGGAGATGATCAGACGGCTAACGGCGCAGCGGTCTCAGCGATGCTAGGAAAATTCACGAGATGGAAAACAGGGAAAATATGAGAAGCGGGAAGAGGTGAAAACAAACTATGGGCCCTGGAACCCTATTTATAGAGATGACGTGGAATATAAAACGTCATGCTGGGGAACCACAAACCGTCCCCATCCTCGACCTTTACTCGCATAGACAATGATGGCCCTACTCCCTAGGGCGTCATTATGGTTTCCAAGAGCCACACCATGTGTCTAACTGACGCATCACCACCTCCCCACAAAAAGTTCCTCGATCACTCCTCAATCGCTGCACGGGAAAAAATCGCAAACCGGGCGATGTCTCTTCTCCCCGATTGAAAACCCCCGCGTCGCGCAAGCGAGTCTCGCGAAAGAGCGAACTTGAATCAAGTCATAACTCCCGTGCCAGGAGCAACGACTTGGGGGACTTCTGTTCTGGACTTGGCCTGCCCGTGGCCCAATCACCAGTGAGGCCCAATCCAAGCTTTACAATATACCATGCTGAGCATCAGATCCCCCGAGCATACCCCCATCATGGGTGACTGGTCGAACACGAATGCGCCTTCCGGTGCCCGCGAAGAGCGTCCTCGATGGGGGACGTCACAGACGAGGAACATCCCAATCCAAGCCCTGCTCGAGTACCCTCCTTGTAGGGCAGACTTTCAACCTCTCCGGATGTCTCGGAGTCCTCAGGGTCCCGGGAAGATCGCGTCGTTACCTTCCCTATTCTGCAGAGAGCATCATCCAGGTAGGAGACCACATGCAGGTCCCCAGTACTCACGTAGAACCTGACAGTCCATTTATTGGGCCTGTTTGGTCGGTCCAATAAAGGGACCTTGGCCCAACGCTGGGGGCTATAAATACCCTATATTTCAAGAGGGTTAGGTATTCATTTCATACACACCTATATACTTACTTGCCTGCTCATTCCGCCTCTCACTTTGTCATCGGAGTGTCTTGCAGGTAACCCCCTATCTCCTTCGAACGCCATTCAAAGCCAGTTGTGACGGTCCAACTCTGATCAGGTATGATCATTATGTTACATGATCGAAAGCACCAAAAAAATGTACCTTGCACAATGAACTACTCATCTTGCCAAGAAAATTAAATCAAGAATATGGAATCGACAAGAACGTGTTAAAATCCTAATTCTAATCATGTATCAAAAATTAATTCAATTAATTCCTAAGCTAATAGAAAAATTATGAAAATATTTTCACTAAGTCAAGGAGTAACATATTAGTATCCATGTAAAATTTCAGCCAAAAATCATGGGAGAAAGTACCACAGTTAAATCGCTTAAATTCAAGAAACAAAGTGTAAATTAAGGTGGAAGTCTTAACAAAGGGGGTGAAATCAGGATTCAGGGAGTATTGTTTCAACAAAAGAAACTAGGGCTCTAGGACCAAATCATGATTCCACCAAGGGGTTTTTTGTCCATCCTTTAGCATTGGGTTCCAAAAACCAGAAGTTAGTGGCCTGGGCTTAGCAGTTTGTAATTCGGTCCAGACAACAATGACACTATGATCCAATTATTTTTGTTCAGTTTATTATTTATTGAATTATACTTAAAACAATTAATCAAACAAAAAAATATTAAGAGGAATTAGGGTTAAGTGTTGTAACCATTCAACTTCACCGTGAAAATAAATACAAGCTCTTTCCTCTCCTTTCTTAACTTACAACGGCGTCGGAAAATCGACCTTCTTCCTTACTTTACGGCGGTAAACTTCTTTCACCTTTACCTTCTCCGATCGAACATCAACATCCGGTCACCGCAAAAGATCGCCTCTCCTCGTCTCTCCCTAAATCGTCTCCGTCTCAATCCCTATTCGCCCTTTGTTTTCAATCGCGAGAGAAACGAAGGAAAACTAGAGATCCTCGCTCAGGTACTCATACTTGCACTTTGCTTGCTCTTTAGTTTGTTCTTCATCTACTACTCTTCTGCTTCCGCAGTCTTCATGACTATGTCGTTACTCTGCGATTGCGTTGAATTCGCGATGTTAATGTTGTTATGCTGATGTGATGAAGATGTTATTTATAGGTTACTGATGAAGATATTGAGAAATCGTTGTGTTGATGATGATGAAGAATTGAAGTACAATAGCAGATAATGAAGATTGTTGCGGAAAGATTTCTGATGATTGAAGTGGTTGTGGAGAAAATTTATAGAGAAGACCGTGGATTAAAGTTTTTTGAGTATTTTATGGTGCGACTCTTCGAGAAATTCAAGAATGAGTGATGGATGGTGAGGAATTGCAGAAGATTGATGATGATAGAAGCAAGGTGAAAAGTGAAAGAAAGTTGAAGGTTCTGTGTGAAGGTTGAGGTTCAATGATGGAGGATGCTAATTATGCAGGAAAATAAAGATTATGCCGAGTCTTCAGAGAGAGAGAGAGAGAGAATGCAGATGAGGGTTTTAGGAGTGCAGAGAAGAAGAGAGTCTTGGTTATTTTTCTGTTATATTCGGTTAGAGTTTGTTTTGATTTTGGAATTCGGTTGGGATAATTCCATTCACCTTCTGATTTAATTCTTTTTTCTAATTTTTATGAGTTTCAAACTCACGGTTCCCTCTCTTTTATGCTAAACTTAATTTTCTCCTTGCAATGTAGTTTTGAGAACATGATTTATGTTGTTTTAAGCTTCACTCCATATTTTTTGTTTTCTAATTAAAACTTGAACTGGTTTTGATAGGTTGGAGTGTGCGGATTTTGAACTGGTTTTGGCTTGGTATGCAACTGGTTTATGGACAAGATACTTGAGATGCTATGGAAAGTTTTGGATGTCGTATTTTGGACAGAAAATGGATTAATAATTTCTGATTTTTGTGTGTATGTTTGAGCGTGAATGGAATGTGATCGTAAATGTATATGTATGAATTATTTGTGAATTTAGAATGTGTGGTCTATGTATGATTCGAAAGTGTGTCGTGCAGGGCTGCTGAATTGTTATGGATATTGTTTGGGCACTTTGTTAATATGTTTGGATATTTAACTGTTGGCATGGAAAAACTGTTTTGTGACATTAGTTGTCGGGTTTTGATGGACTGTTTTGGTTTATGCACCTGGGTTTGTGAACTGCTTTTGCAGGGGTTATTTGGCAGATTTCATGCTCTGGTCATGGTAGTGAACTTAGGGATTATGGATGTGCTTGAGCCCACATGATAGCAAAAATGATGAAGATGAAGTAAACTAGGAGATTGGGATGAGGTGAAGATAAAACAAGATCCACCAAGTTTGTTTTGCATTAGATCCTAGGTCTATGGTCAACACTTGTATAACTTGTAATATCCAACTTTGTAATGTATTTTTGCAATGGTTGGTAATGGATTTTGTGATGAGATTTGAAAATTCATTTTGCAAGGCTTTGAATCCTATGAATAAAGCAATCCTACTTTCCTCCTCTTGTTGAATTTGAAACTTCAAGTACTTTCATTAATTTGCATTTCCTTCGAGGCGAACCATGAGGTGAGATAAGTGCCCTCAAAGTAATGTGATATGTGGTTTTTCCAAATAAGCTTCAAGTTTATTTTCCCTCCCATTCACTTCATTCTAAATCGAATCTCCAACATTCCTTTCACTTTTGCACCCCTGAATCAACATAAAAAAGCCCAATAGTTTAAAATAGCCTTATGCCTTCAAATTTAGAATAATCTATAAGACCATAAATGAACAAATCCACAATATTGTCTTGCAACGCAAATAACACATTGAACCAAAGTTTCGATGATGATAAACAAAAGAAACCCTAGATGTGAGAAATGCGTCACATGAAAGCCATGAAACCAAACTCTTAAGATCCTTATGATAACCACTTGGCATAAATAAGTGAACCTCTATCCCTGATTAACGAGAGTACTTGTTGAAACAGATCCCTAGCTCACAATATCCTCCTTTGAAGTGTCGCAAGAAACCATGTCATTATCATAACCCTAATCCATTCGCTTTTGAGGCATCTTGATGAAGAGGTTTGATGAAAGATGAAGTCCTCAATGAAAATGAGCATAAAACCTTAGTTTCACAAATCATAATCAAAGAAAAAAACCAGTTGATTTGAACCTGAGTGAAGATAAGAGCTTAAAGCATATAGAAACCCTAATTCCTCAATATCTTTGATCCCATGCCATTTTTATTGATTAATGAATGTATGATGTGTTATATGACCTAATGGAGGGTATTCACATGAAGGATGAGATATGAATAAGCCAGATGATCCTTATAAAGGGGTAGGACAAATTTGAGGTATTACAAAGTTCCTTAGAGAATTCAAGACATCATCACAAACAAATTAGGTCAAAACTAGAGAATGTGGCTCCTAACTTGTCATCAGGATGAATTGACAATGAAATGTCAATCAAAGAATCAAAGGAGCATTGATTTATGGGTCATAATTCATGAGGTCAGAAGTATAGTAAAGGGACTTCAACCTTTTTTTGGCCCAAGGGCACTTAATTGGAAATGTACAAACACATTCTCCTAAACCATGATCATAAAAGACAACTAAATGACCACTAAACAAAGGTGAGATGTTAGAGCATATTGAATGGTTCATAGACATGAACTCAAGGCTCTAAAAATTCTAATGAGAATAGGAGAAGGAAGAAGGACTTGGTTCCTTATAGGTTGCACAAGTGCACACTTTATATCTAAAGCAACATGAAGTAGATTCAAAAAGTAAGGCAAAAGGAGAATTGTACAAATGAAATAATATGATTCTCAATTCCTTAAGGGACTATCCTTGAACCTATCATCCCTCAATAATGATCATTGAACATCAAAAGTCTTCAAGAACAAGCCACAAAACACAAGAAAGATCCTAATTAGGGTTTAAAACTTGCACAATTAGGAATCCAAAACAAATGATCACCAATAGCTAAAAGAGATCAGTTAAATTGTTCAAAGATAATTTTATACTAAAGAAATCCAGGGACTATTATGTGTTCAAAACTCAGCCTCAAAATATATTCATAAGCTAGCAAATGAAAGGCAATTTGCATAAGCAAGTTTTAATGGACACATTCACTTCAAAAATGGATCAAAAATAGAAAGAAGACTTGTAAGTTCAAACTAAATTAAACCTAACTCCCTTACGACTTATAAAAGTCATAATCATAGTTTAAAGTTTTTGGATTGAAGAATAAGTATGATTTTGAAATGCAAACATCAAGACTAGTTAGCAAAGTGCTCAAACTAGACATATTTAACAAAATAATTTGTGAAAAATGTAAGATCAAGACTTAAAATTAAAAAAAATGATTTTCATGATATTAATTCATCCAAGAACCTCAAACATATTTTCTTTTAGTTTTACAAGTGAAATAAGTGAAATCATTTATTCATTCTTTGAGCCTAAGTAAGAAAAAGGACCAAACACAACAATAATCTTCCATAATTTTTAGAATCAAGCAAAATTAATGGTGATTCTGACTAAAAATCATGGAAAATTATTTTAATGTCTAAGAATCACTAAAAATATTTTTATGAAATTTTATCATGAAGGAAAAAATTAAAAAAAATTCAAACAAAAATATAACAAAATTGAAAGCAAAATGAGACTATTAATCAATTGATTTAATTAAAGTGCCACAAAATTTTTTAAAATAAAATAAAATTATTTTCATAAAATAGACTCAGAGATCTATATGGACATATTTTTTTAATAATTTTTTTATCATTAAAGCTTTGAAAATAAAAATCAAGAAAAAAATTGAAATAAAAGAGAAAAATGATGAACAAAATTTGAAATAATATAAAATAATGAGATCTGGCGCGTGCATGGAACTCAGAGATTCAAACCAACCAATCACAATTCGTCTCTTTCAATGAAACAATTCTTCCAAACCCTAACTCAGTGTTTAAGCATTGAACTTCCGATCCCTATAACTTACCCGTTTTTGCATGAAATCAAACGAGATCTGAAGCAAAGTTGTAGATCTCATGGAGATCTACAACGTGATACCAAGAAATACATCAAACAAACATTAATTCATAGAGAAATTGGATAAAAACTTCACTAATTATCACCTTTTCACGCAAGTTCAGAATATTATGCAAGCTCAGATTCACACAAATTTATACTTTAAACTTATTGTTTGGCCAACTAACAACATCATGAACGTGATTATAACGATTGAAAACCAATGTAAAAACATATGCAAGCTATGTATCTTGATCTATGGAGTTTTAAGGATTACCTAGTGGAAACAACTCCACTGACTTCTTCAAATCGTGCTTGCAAGCTTTAGAAACCCGAAAAATCACTTGTACAAGTTTGAATGAGAAGGAAATAATAACGAGAGCACAAGATTCATTTGGAGAAATTCTGGAACCGAGAAAGTTTCATTAAGAGAACTTCAGATAACTTTGAGATAAGAAAGAGAGAGCTTTAACCTATACTTTCTTGCATGAATGAAGTCTCTATAATGAAGAGGGGATAACTTTATTTTATAACCGTTGGTGTTGAATTTGAGGTGACTTAACCACGATTAACAAAGTTTGTTGAGCAAGCTTTTGAAAAAAATGAAATCTCAAAGAGCCTTGTGTTTTGTGTTGTATTATTGTGATGTTAGCTGCGTTTTGGAGAAAGAATAGAGAGTGGAAACTGAGTACAAAGCGTGTGAGGTGAGCTGGCAGCATTAACACATGGGGGTAAAAATGAGTGGAGATTATTTTCCCCTCTTTTAGCAAGGCACGAGTACAGCATGTGCATGCATGTATTTCTATTTTGTTTGGCTTTTTAGGGAAATTATGATGCAAGTAATAAGAAGATTGTGTGGTCTGAGTGATAACAAGAACTTGTGCACATGTTTTCAAGTTCTGGTCAGACTGGATGCAGGCCTTGTGCCCATGAAAATCACCTCAGCCTAAAGCCGATATCTCCATCATCTCTCCACTATTTGAGATGATCTTTAGCATTTTAGAAAGAAGCTTATGTGCAACAATGTTGATGTTGAAAGAAAATTGAAATAATGTTTGTAAGGCAGTGAAAAATTGGCACGAAAATGATGAGATTTGGACTGGCCAGGCAAGGCCAAAACTCATGTGCGTGCGAGCCTTGTAGTGCTGACTAGACTTTAGCAACTTGAGCCTTTAAATCTAAAACATAATATCTCCCTCCTCAATGCACCAAATTGAACAAACTTTGAATCAAATTTGAAAAGGAAGCTTCAAACTTCAACTTTGATGTTGATCACTCATCCAAATAATGAATATTTCAAAGAGAAAAATGATCAAGAAAAAGTTCCTGGAATTTGTTTGATGAAAGTCCAGACCTGGCACGCGTGCATGCTAGCAATTTGACATTTTGGAGCTTCAAATCCTAACCATTATATCTCTCTCTATGGGGAACCATTTGCTGCAATCTTTGAATCAAAGTTGAAGAGGAGGCTTTGAAATTTAATTCTCATGTTGAACATTTCCTGATTTGAGTCCAAATGGATCCCTTAAAATAGCCATGAAAAATTGATCTTTCATGCACATGCCTTGGAAATTCTACTAAGTGTCAAGAATGTTCTAAGCCACATAACTTTTTCTCCTTTCACTTTTTGGACTTGGGCTTTCAAGGACAACGTTGAAGAAATTTTTATCCTCTTTCCATAGATATAAAGTTTGCACACATTGAATCAAGGATGAGAAATTGTGGTATTTCCAAGTTCATCTTATAACACAGGAAAACTTAGAAATTTTCTAAGTTATCAAGATAATTTCTTTGACAAGTTACATCCAAATTCATCATTTCTCTTAATTTTATTCCATTATTGATCATATAACATGAAAATATGGGTTTTGGACTGAGTGTTGACCAAAAGTCCAC